AAAAAAAAAACGTTAAACAAAAGTGAAAAAGTATGTATAAAAGTAGATTATTATTCGTATGTAGTAGGCAAGATCGGAAACTTTAAAGGTGAATCGAGATAGCGGAAGTCAGAAAATCAGAAAGGTATGACATTGAAGGTCTTGTCCAATCAGGGTGAGATTTACCTGTGGCCAATCAAAAATGCAGGAAAGTGAGGCATAAATTAGTAAATGCATTCATGAACTTGAACTAAACCAAAATTTTGAGTTCAGGTTCAGTTCAAGTTCATAAATTTAAAGTTCAGTGCAGGTTTAGGTTCAAAGATCTGCAAAATTTAATGTTTAGTTCAGGTTCAATTGAACTTGAACCTGAACCTAAATTGAACTGAACTGAACTTCAGAACACTACTATAGACTGCTACTCCTAATTTTGGAATTACTAATATTATGATCCTATGCATAATGACTTATGCGTAATGATCGTATATACAATGATTTATGCGTAATGATCATATATATAACAATATTATGTGTAATGATTTATACTCTTACGATCTTGAGAACTTATAGTTTAGTTAAATAAATATATAAATAAATAGTTTTATATAGTAGAATAAATAATAATATAACAAAATAAATAAAAAAATAGAATAGAATTAGATAGTTGTTAAACAACAGATTCGTCAGGGTATCGTGATCGTCATCATAGTCACGTGATCACTGTAGTATACCAGCATCATATGATCATCATGATGTGTAATATTATACGAAGAGTGGATTCTATATTATTTTACAATACAACTAAAATTTTTAATTTTATTTGTTTTAATTTTATTCAAATATATTTAACTTCTCATATATCAATTTCTTTAATATATAAATATTTTTTATAATAAAATTCAATAATATAAAACCCTTTATAAAATTCTATATAAATCTAATTAAAGTAAAATAATTTGATAAAATTAAGTTTTTCTAAAAAGTTAAAAATGAATTCATTTATTAAAATTATGTTGTATAAAATAATAAAAGTTTAATATATAGTATGTAATTCTACAACATTTTTGCATTTAATATTTCAGACTAAATCAATTTATTTTAAATTAACTAAAGATAATAAAAATATATTTAATATTATAAGACTTTATAATAAGTAAGATAATATTTTAAATACCAAAATAGCTAAATAAAAAAAATATACAGTTAGACCTCGATATAATCACCAAGTTCAGAAACAAATTTTTGGTAATTATAAAGAAGTGTGACTATATAAAGGTCAAATTTTATATGTTTTATAATATCTAGGATTAAGAAATAGTGTGATTATAACAAGGCTGTGACTATATCAAGAGTGACTATAATGAGGTCTGACTATATTTAATATATTAAAATTATTATAGAATAAATAATTTTAATTTTATTAAAATAAAACAAATATATAAAATGTTTATTATATATTATATAAAATTGATTTTTTAAATAAATTAAATTAATTCAATTTATTTTAAATTATTTCATATTAATTTAGATTAATGTTATTCATTTCATCCTCTTTATAAATATCCTATTATCTTATTTAATATATTTATTTTTAACTTATTTAATCTAATTATTATATTTTAAATTATTTTATTTTATTTTACAAATAGTAGTTAGTGAAGTCTATAGAATATTGGATTTTTAATAATATAAACTTTTAGTTATATTTAAATGATTTATTTATTTTAAGATTATTTAAATAATTTAAATTTTATCAAAACATTTCTTTTGTAATATTGCACAAATTATTGCAAAATATTTCACAATATCTTATATAATATTTAGTAATAATCTTATATAATATTTTATAATTGTATATTTTGTATTATCTGTCAGATTACTATGATCAGGCCGCCAAATAATTCGGTTTATTTGGCAGAAAAAAGTTTATTTTGGTTATTCAGCAAAAATTGATAGTTTATTTTAGTTATTTGGCAAAAAATAATAGTTTATTTTGGTTATTAAGCAAAAATTGATATGTACTATATATACGTAGCTTATTTTATTGAGATGTACTGTATATATATTCATATGTATTTTACGGGCATACCTAAAATGCTATATGATATATTTTCTATATACTTTTAAATAAATTTTGAAAAAATCAAAGTGTTCGAGTAGTTTCTTATATTTTAAAATTCTCTATAGGTATCAAAGTACTTAAACTCATCTTTCATGTTTTAAAATTTACTAGATAGATAGATCGATGAATTAAAAATAGTAACTTGTTTGTAAATTTCTAATAGTAGAAGATTTCAAAATTAACATGTGGGAATCTAATTTTGACAGAAATAGATAATATATTTATTTTTAAATAAGCAATATATCGATTTTATTTTATTTCTGATAAATTTGTAATAATGATTTTTGTTATCATTGAAAAGTTTGTTTATTTCGTTAAATAGAAATCTCATTTTCTGATTTCAAAATTTGATACATGAATAAGATGTTTTAAACTCTCACATATTTCTAAAATACGCTTTTTTTTTAATTTTAAACTTTATAGTTTTAAAATTCTCTAATAATAAAAGCATATATAGAATAGTTTCATATTGTAAAATTTTTTAGATAGAGCAAAGCACTTAAAAAGGTTTATGATTAAATAATTCAAAACAACGTAGCAATCTTTTTTGTAATAAATACTTTTATATTATTTTTTGCTTATATAATATGATTTTTATACATATTATTTTTTATTTAATGTTATATATTTTTAATTAAAACTTATTTACTTGCTTCATATTATATCCAATTATCGTAATCTGATGGATAATATCGTTATTAGACACTACACACCAATAACTATCATATCTGGGCCAGAATTTGATCAGAAGATATCTGGGCCCCTGCGAGGCCTAGCTATCTCCCGGTCAAATTTTGGCCCAGATACTTTCCGTTATCTGTCATGTGTAATAATAATATCATGATCATGAAGATCATGATATTATCATTACAGTATGCCAAATAACTTCAGTTATTGGATGCTTTGTATCTAATAACTATATATTATTGTGCAATATTTTGCTAATATTATGGCTATTTTACGTTGCAAAATTTATTACACAATATTATACTCTATTAAATTTGCTGATATATAATAAAATTTTGCAAATAATTTTTTTATTAAAGCTCAAAAAATAGTTTTATAAGCAAAATTTCAAAATATTAATGATGTAGGTAATGATCACTTATGGTGTAAATTAGCAATTTTTTATTTTAATAGATATTTTAAAATTTTTTAAAACTTCAATTGAAGATATTTTGATAATTATCTAATTAAATTTAATAAAATATTTATATAAATCTAGAAAATTGAATAAAAAATTTTATTAAATTTGGTTAAATAGCTGTTGAGATATTTTTGCTCAAAAATTTAAAAAAATTTATTTTAATAGATATTTTGAGTTTTTTTAAAAATTTGAGAAAGATATTTTAACAACCACCTAATCAAATTTAATAAAATTTTTTTTATTTGAATTCTCCAGATTTATAGAATCAAAACAATAAAAATCATTAAATTTGATCAGGTGGTAGTTGAGATATCTTTAAGTTTTTGTTTTGTTAGAGATATAAATTATAAATATGAGAGTATAAAAAATAGCCTTCAAAATTTATTCAAATCTAATGTAATATAGTTTTGGATAAGAACATTTCCAGTACTTTCACTTTATAGTGTAATTTCACGCAGTCCAATAGGCACTATATATATTTTGTTTTCTAAGCAAAGTAGGTCAGAAGGCAAATTCTTTTTAAATTCTTTTGTATAATGAACATTACTGTTCGTTCAAGGCTAATAATGACTTTTATGGTGATTTTTATTAACGTTCTTAAAAAGTATTCTAAGTTATAAATAAGTTATTCGGGCAATTGATTTTCAGCCAATCAAACGAAAGCGTCCTATGAGTACTATGTAGTTACTGCGCATTAAGATATCCAAGTTTCTGTAAAGTAGATTTTATCTTCTATTTTCTAAACTAAAATAAAAACATATTATATGCTTATTACTATATGGGGCCTTTGCTATGATTTTTTTTTACTAAAAATAGATTTGTTATGATTTTACTAATTAAAATCTTGTGTAACAATAGCTCGGAGGGTCATTTTGTTAGCAAAGGCCCCATATATAATCTCTACTTTCTTAATAATATCACTAAAATCAAAACCTGCACGTAAAAATCGTCACGAGCAGGTTTCTATAATACAAGATTAAAGTTGATTAAAAACTCTTCACGATCAACTTTATGCAAATAATTTTTAAAGTGAGGCTATGAAGATAAGGTGACTCAAAAGTTCAAGTTGCATGGCATATTTCACAGCCAACGTGTTTGTGCCTTTTATTCGGATCGTTTTTGAATATGCCACAATACGCCTGTGGAGTGAATCATGTGACTTGAACTCTTAGAATAAAACTTTTTATGAATATACGTACGTACGTACGTAACTTTATTTTCTTCAATTATTTTACGTAGCATATAAATTCGTATGTTAAAAATATACAGTTTAATGGATACTCTCTAAATACATAAATTTTGGTTTTTAATTATTAACACAAAAATGGTTTTTATAACTTAAATGCATATATGTCTAAATATATGCATAAAAAGTCTCCGACGGATGGCATGTAATTAGACAGTATCGACTGTATACGTATAACCGGGCTAAGTTTAAATATTTTGAATCTAATTATAACAATGATTAATCGGATAGACGCCTAGAATTTTTTTTATATATCCAAAAATTCGCACGTTGGGCGTTTTATTTTCTAAACCTAGTTATACGTGTAAGCAGTAGTGATACGCAGTGATGCAGAAAAAATTGCGAACCTGCATAAAGGTCATAAAAATAACAATGCTTTAATGATTTCTTATTATAAAACCATAATTATCTAAAATAGGAATTATAAACTTTAAAGAGTTAATATATAACAAGAGATGTCAATTTCGCCATAAAGATAACGTAGTCAAAACCAATTTAATTTAATAATGGCTGCTAATTCATCTTTTCCCGAAGGATTGAATAGTATTTCTACATGGGGGTTTACAGCATTTGAACCACTTACATATATATATTTCAACATAGCCTTTATTATAATTGCGTACCCTTTATATCGATTAATAGCAGGTTTTTTAAAATGGGAATTAAACGAAAAAACGCCGAGTAAACATTATAGCGATATTCTTGCGTGCGTTAGATATGGGTTTATTGTATTTGTGCTTGGAGGATATTCGCAAACTTTCAAGTAAGTTCTTTAAAAGTTTTGTAGTCTTACCGATAATAATATAAGTATTTATGACATTTCTATGAATATTTAAACGAAGCTGGATCACAATTCTCTCATTTTACGTTGCAATGTATGGGTTCGGTAGTTTGGCAGAGCTTTCCTTTGCCAAACAATCATTACCAACATGGCGTAATTGGGCAGTGCAAATGTGGATATTAATAATTGTAGCAATACTTATAATCTTGGCATTTGCGGCTTATCATATTTATCTAGGAGTAGTTTTCACAGAAGTTGGTCAACTCGGTCATAATGGAATATTTTTAGCTTGGTATATAAGTTGTTTGATAATCCCAGTAATACTAATGGTGCTTGGCTCATTAGCTGTTAAAGAACAAAACGATAGATATTTTACAAAGAAATTTGTAAATGTATTAAGTGTATTTAAGAAGAAGAAAAAAAAAGACGTGGAAGCACATTCGAGCAGTGATAATAATGAAAATTCTGAGCAAACTAATGAAAATTCTGAGCAAACTGCTACTGCTAATGGTGAAGAGACCAATCAGACTAAAAACGAACCACAACCCTATGACAAAAAAGTAGGTGTTCATTTACACCATTGGCAAATATTCTACGTGCTTGCATTTTTTCACAAGATTTGCTGATCCCGTTTCGCGAGTCGCCGCTGGTATAGTATTAGGAATATATACACAAGGCATGATTGCGTAAGATATATAGATCTTTAACATATTGTCTAAATTGCTTATTGCATGAATATAAAACTAATAGTATGATCTTTTTTTATAGCTATGGGCCCGATAGTTTTTTAATTGAACATTAGACTTTCAAAGGATTGACTAATTTAAATAATATTCTCTTTAAATAACGGAAAGACAGATAGACGATGGGTTGCCTTTGTTTATTTTTTATAATGGTTTACAATCTATATTATCAGGATTGGCATTTTATTATATTTTTTCTAATTGCATATAACTCTATTCATTTTTGTTATTTTTCTATTGTAAATTTTTGGTCTTAAACTTTATTAGTATAAAAATATTTTAAAATTATTACTTTACTAATACTCTAACAATATATATTTATAAATTATTAATAAAAAAAAATTTTTTTTATATGAATATAAAAAAATTAACCTTTTGTTCTTTTGTACTATTTGCCAACACTATATATTATATATCAAGTTTACTTAAAGAACTCTGACCTATTTTAAGCAATATTATTAAAGATATCGTAACTAGTTTCGAACTTTCGTTTTATGAGGGGTACGAAATTCGTAAACTATTTTTACGATTACAATTTTCTTAATAAAATAAAGAGCAAGTTGACAATGTAGAAAAAATTCCCGTACGTATACAAGACCAATTTAAAACCTATAACAGACAATAGTTGATTTATTGATCATTAATACTTATTCCTATTTGTATATCCGAGTTTTTTATAATTTACCAAAACTTTATCCCATATAATAGACCCGGTAGGCGGTCTGATATCTGGAGGATCCAGAATTTGACGGTAAGACATTCTATTGTACATACTATTTTGACGTTACTAATCTGCATAAAAAATTTTCGCTAAAAAAAAAAATCTCGCAATTATAAATTTAGGATTAGGTTTTAGCTATTGATTAGGTTATTAAAAGAAATTATATAGCGATATAAAATTTTCGCAAAGCTTTTTGTTACGTAGTGTGCAGAAAGCGGTTACGATTTTTTTTTTTTTTGATTTTTCTTTTGATTTTGATTGGCAAGCAAAAATAACCAAATTGTTAATTAACGTTAGCGTTAATGTTAAAAATACATTTCAGGGGCTGTTACAGACATGAATGATCCAATTTGTCGAACCATGCGTGTTTACGTTTACGCAATCAAAAATCTTAGTATTAGTGCTTCGTCTAATGTCATTCTCCTGAACTTTCTTGCTCTTTGTGTTATCACAGATGAATTGGATAAACTGAATCATTGGACTTAAGATTCTAATTGGTGCCAATAAGTCCAACTCCAATTTAAATTACTGGACTAATAAATGTGGTTAAGAGCGAAAGAATTCATTAATGCAGATTAGATAACGTGACCATTAAGAACCAATAACTCTGGAGTGTGATGTGAAACGTGACTCAATTCTATATTAACATCGTTATAGTTTAGCGAAAGCCGAAGGACCGTAGAAAAAAAAATGCTTATAATCTAAGGGCCTTAATCAATGGGTCAAAATTTAAATAATAATCGTAATCTGATAAAGTCTATTGGAGTTTGTGATTTATAAACTTTCTGCCGCAAATCATCTTTTTTATACATCTGACTTGTCAAAATTTACAATTGAGTATTTAAAAAGATCCTTCAAGTAACTTTGTCATAGAACCAACTCTCATCATCAACAAATTATTTTTATTCATTACACTAAAAGTTTTTATGAACAATAAAAAATACCAGAAAGCCCGAAAAAACAATTACGGATGCTTACCATTTTTTGCATCAAATATCAACGAAGACCTAAATCTAGTGGCGACGACATTTGATAAATAAAAAATACTAGCTCTCAAACCCGGGCGATGCTCCGGGGGCTCAGTTACAATTTTTCTTGTTTTAAAGTATTTTAATTCAAGTGAACCTGATTTGGGTTTACTTGAACCCAGATAGGGTTCAAG